GGGGGGGGGGGGGGGGGGGGGGGGGGGGGGGGGGGGGGGGGGGGGGGGGGGGGGGGGGGGGGGGGGGGGGGGGTGCTATTTTCGGTAGACTAGACTCGTCATTCAAGAAGAAGGGAATGGGATCAGCTACCGATGGCGGTACTGCATTTCGATGGCAAAAAAACAGAGAAAAAACGAGACCGTCAGCGATGGTAGTAAGTACTGCCACGCTTTATTGCTGAGCCGGCACTTCTTCAAGCGCGTCGAAAAGGGGCGCGCGGGTCTAAGACCAAGGCCTGCGACAAGAACAAAAAAACGCCAATCTCTGCGATGGAAGCCCCTGACACCACGACACACGCACCGGAGCTTCGGCCGCAGGTTGTGCACGATGCTGCAGGCCACGATGGCCGGGTTCTTCCTGATCATCTTACCGACGTCGTCCGTGCTAAGCCCCAGCCCGCCCTGCAGCCACGAGGTCACCGCGTGGGGGCCCCTCTTGGAGAGCGACATGAGAGCTGGCCACCGCAACACCGCATCCTTCACCTGAGGGGAGGGGAGGGGAGGAAGAAAGTTTTTTTTTTCAGGAGTTGAAAGCGCTACTAGTTCGTTTGTACGCTTTGAGCGAAGAGAGTGCTGCACTCTTCTCACGTGATATATCGAAGGCAAGCACCGCGGGAAGGAATAATGGGGGGCCTCAGAGAGAGGAACCCTTCTGTGTGACGGACCACGGATTGGAGCTCCTACATGGCATCAACGGTGTGACCACTGATAAAAAATGAGGAACAAAAAAACAAACGGCTCTCGCTCATATCACTCAAAACGAGTGTGGAGTGCTTCTTTTAAGTAATATACCATCGACAGTGCCAATTGGCCAACCAATGAATAGGCGTCGGTTGGACTTGCAGGGGGATACGTTGCTATGCGTGCGTGAATGAGTGAGCGTGTTTCAGTGCTGTCCATGTTCTCGCACAAGCTTGTTTCGATCACGGTATGGCCGGTGTCCCCGTTCTTGCTGAAGCACGGATCTGCTGCCGCTGAGGGGGGTGGTTGACGAAGCAACGGAGGGCGGTCGTGCACTGACTGTCCTACATCCTCGCATCGGAAACGACAGCGACATAGGCGCTCACAGCCACCAGCAGTACAACTGCATCATTCTGATCCTGGGGTTCCTGTGAACTCGAATTGAAAACCCTTTTCAAGACTTCCGTTCGGTTTATTCTCTTGCGTCAGACGCCCAATGGGATTTTCCTTCTCGAACGTGTACAGCAGTGCATGGAAACGTGGATATTTGCTCTTGTCGCTCTGGATCCCTCCAATGCCAAGGTACGGCCGGGTAGACAACGCGCCCTCCCCAGCAAAAGCCGCTCCCTAGTCCTCCTTCTTTTCGAGGACAAGGGCGATTCGAGCTCGAGATGTTACAAGGAACATATTGGCAGCTGTGTCGCATGGATGCCGAAAGAGAAGCACAAACTGCTCGCAGGCGAGGACCTTCATCTACATAAACCATAGCACTAGCAAGGAAGCGCGGCGCGCCCTCCTACAAGCGCGGCGCGCCCTCCTACCACCACATCCATCAGACTACCGTCACCTCTTCGGGCCTCATGCGCAGCTCCCCCAGGAGGTAGCCGACAGCTGTCTGCGGGCCTCCCGCCGATCTCCCTGTCAGCCTCTCCTTCATCCTGCTCGCAGCCGCAGCCGCAGCGGCAGCCTCGCGACCGTATTCAACCACACCCGACCCGGGGGATACCTTCACGCCATCCGCGGTGCCCCCCCTACCGCCGGCATCCAACCCAGGGGACGCGTCCGCCGCGGCCCCCCTGGAATCGGAGGAATCAAGGACGCCTCCGCTGAGAGCGAGACCTGATCGCGGTGATCGTCTGAGTTTTTCCACCTCTTCGTCCGACAAGCCCAGCCTCTCTTGAAGCGACAGCGAGTGGCGCTCCCAAGGGGGCTCCGCATCTCTATCCTCCTCCTCCCCTTCCTCCTCCTCCTCTTCCTCCTCTTCCTCCTGCTGCGATGTGAGTTGTGATGACCGAAGTCGAGGGGGAGGTAGGGGAGAGAGCAGGAAGGTCGGGAACAGGAGACCCACGGCCAATTAAAGGGGGAACGATAATATCGGGGGGGGGGGGGGGGGTGAGTGGCAACATGACGGTTATGCATAGTCTGCCTTATGACACACTAGCCTGANGCGAGAGTGGGCAAGGGAGGGGTAGAGTCTGGTTATACAAAAGCATGTGCATTCGTTCGTTCCCGCAGGGAAAAAAAAAGAAGAGCAACCAAATCCATCTATCAATTTCATAACACCGAGAGGTCTCCTCCATCGTCTCCACACCGGCACCCTCCCCGCTACCGTAAGAGGCGGAGAGATTGCACCCCCTCAAGACCAATTTTCAAACCCCGATTGCTCCCTAACCGAGATTGTGCCAACAACCAACAATGGTGGTCTTGGAATCATCTACACATGTCGTCGACGGCCTTCCGTAGAATTATCGGGTTCTTTCCGAACCCCCCCCCCCCTCGGTCGTGGAGCAATCGAACCGACCTGTACAAGTCTGTCTGGGAAGGGTGCCATCTCTCCGCCTGTTTCGGTACGCCCCCCACCCCTGTCCCCCAACCAAGTGACGCGTTCCCACATGATCTGTTTTCGTTCTGCTCGCGCCCATCGACGTTCGTGTTCCCATGTCCCTCCCCCCTGCTGCAACTATTTCAAAGCGGGCATTGCGCGCTCTGCTCGCTGCCAAGGCTCAGACGCTCCAGCACATTCTACACACACACGCAGCACGCGCAGTAAATGCCGCTCTCTTGCTAGAGGTTCGCCGCATGTGCCATTAGCTGAGCAGCTGCGCTTGACCATGTGGAATACCTCACCCTCGGACGAAAGAAGGCATGTTCTTTTCGGCCATGAGCGGGGAATCCAGCAAGGCGAGTCAGCGAGCATGCGGCGAGCCTCGTGTGCCGGAGAGCGGCTCTGCGTGTATGGCGTGTGCTCGAGCATCAGAGCCTTGGCGGGAGAGCACGCAATGTCCGCTTTGAACTGATAGCAGAAGGGGAGGGAAATGGGGAACACGAGCGCGGACGGGCGTGCGCGGAACGAAAGCAGTTCATTGTGGGAACATGTTCGTTCCCTCTGGGAAAGTGTGCCCGAGAAGAAACCAATCAAAGTCCGCCCAACCATTGAGTAACAACACCAAGAGGTCCCCTCAATCGTCTCCAACACCGGAATCCCCCCGCTACCCCCGCAGCCCATGTGCCGCTTTCTCACACGAAGAACCCATCATTCGTGCACTTACGGCGGATCCAGCTCGTCTCAGCTCTCCTCCGCGCTTCTCCGTCTTGAGGGAAGGCGACACTTCCTCCGTTTCCGCAGCCGCCCATTCCTTTTCGAGCTCCTGCACCGGCAAGACAAGAAAATGATAATAAAAAACAGCGCAAACGCTTTTTGTTCGAGACTCGCAAGCGGTTGGGACTGACTGTTGTTGCACACACTTGCTGTCCTTTCGTGGTGTTTAATTTTCTTGTTCGTGTCTACGTGTTGGCAACATAGCAGATGCGATGAAGATACCAGGCGGGGCCTTCCTGGCATTGGAGAAAACCGTCAACTGTTTTCTGGGCTGGCTCTTGCCCGGGGGGTAAGTGGCCTACTTTGTACAGGCATCTGCCGACAGCTCGGGTGAAAGTGGCGATGGGTTTCCATCGCCAACTGCAACTACCTGTGCTACCTTCGTGAGTCTCGACAGCGATATCTAGAAACTGGCCGATGCAGTCGGACATTGCGAAAAGTGAAGGCCAAAAGGAAGGCTGGTGCCGGGCTGGTGCACAGCCGTGCAACTCGCAGGGCGGGAGTCCATGGTGGCATGGTGTACTACCCGCACACCAATTCAGCCTACGCCCTGCACGGCAAGGGCGGGGCAATCGATCATGTTTCCCCAAGACTTCCTATTACTAGTCGAATCTTAGTGTCCCCGACATGAACTTGAGCGCAAAAGGCGAATCTACCAGACCACGAGGGGGCACATGCAATATCTGGTCAACCCTGTGCCCTGTAGATGCGACCAGCACGCAGGACGCCTGGTCTATCGCTCATGACTTGTGCATGAATCTTACAATATATCTTTCTCCTGCCCCAGATAACGGGACAACGTTTGGATTAAGATCGGTGCAAAGGTTGCACACACAGAAGTAACTCAATCTCGAAACATGCTTGCCCGCTCGTTCTGACCTCTCTCAGCAGCAGCAGCTCTTCCAGGCTGTACGCCGCCACTTCCTCTTGCCCGAAGCCGATCTCTCCCATCAGCGCCCTGAGCCCGTCCTCAACCTCCGTCTTGTAGCTCTCTCCGCCCCCCTCCCGCACCCCAGCAGCAACGGCGGCAGCATCGTCGAGGTTGGCATCGCCTTCGACACCGGCGCCACCGCTCGCCGAGGCCGCTTCCGACAGGATGGCGTCCACCTCCGAACGCTCAAGCAGCGACGGGTTGGAGCTACTCTCCTCATCGTCGTCGTTCCCCCCCTCCCGCGGTGGTTGCGGGCCTAACAGCTGGTCGCCCCCTGACCCCGCCTGGCGCAGCGATAGCCGACCAGCTGTCGGGTTAGCGGAAGACCGCGCGGCGCTCTTCCGGCGGTGGCTGGAGCCGCCCTTTTTCATCGCCACGACAGCGGCGGCGGTGGGGTCGTCATCGTCGCTAACTGTGGCCGTTTCGTCGAGAAACGCCCTCCCCGTCAACATGACGCTGTTTGAAACAGACCCGGCGGGTGATGTGGCCTCCGCCGCCGCCGCCGCCGCCGCCGCCGCCGCTGCCTGGGCCCGCGCCCTGGCCACTCGTTGCGCCTCGGTCGCGGCCGCCGTTTTCTTCGTCGCTGTCGCCGCTCGCGTTATGCTTATCCGTCGGGGGCGGGGGGTAGTGCGGGGGCGATTGGGGCTGCTGCATTCGTCGGGAGGACCGGTTACTGATTCCGCTGCAACCCGTTCTGCAGGCGCTGGCGGTGGTGGCGGTGGCGTTGCCGCTGCTGGTGCCGGATCGCCCGCACCGGTTTTCTTGGATTTCGACCCGACCGGCCGGCCACGCTTCGATCTTGCCGCGGGGGAAAGTTCTGTGGGAGCGCTATCCAGGCCTCCTCCTGAAGTCCCCTGCTTGTCTCTTTTCTTTGACTTCGACCCTTTGGGTCGGCCCCGTTTCCTTCGGGGAGTGACAGGGGCGCCAGTTGAATCAGCAGCAGTAGCAGCAGCAGCGGCAGCGGCAGCGGGGGTATTCAAGGCGTTTTCTGCGAGTCTGTCGACATTATCGTTACCATCTGGGCTATCCAAGGCGAGAAGCCACCCGCCATGTGGCCGTTGCCTGAGGGTCGTCGACCTACAGGTGGAGGGGATGCGCCGGCTCGAGTCCATCTGCTGCAGCGGGTCCAACCTATCAGATGCACATTCGGCGCTGCAACAAGGGCGCAAGAGCCCCGTTGCGCATCGCAATGGGAAAGGATGGACAAAACTTGCTGTGGGATAAGCATCGGCGTGCGAAGCGGTAAGCATCATGGTCGCACCCCCAGCGTGCACAGCAAACATGGTACAGAAAGGAAGGGAGAGACGGAGGCATAGGCCGTTGACGTGCTGACGACGCACGGTAAACAGCAGCAAGAACGCATTTATTTGTGGACTGGTGCCGTCCTCGAGGTTCCAAATAGAACCCCTGTCCCGGTTCGGGTGGTCGTTGGAGAACCTACCTAACACGCCGCATGCTCACGGTCATGGCAGGACGCAGGCGGCAAGGCGGAGTCCAACGGTTTCTGGTTGTCGGGTGGTTGTCTATCGTGTCTATGTGTGTGTATGTCCCGTCTGTACTGGCGCCAATCTACCCAAGTTTCGGTGAATACATATATTCGACGGGTCAGCCAGGATCACACAGTTCTGTTTATATTTGCCAAATGGAAAGGTGCCTGGTTGCTACCAAACACGGTGGTAGTCGGCAGTTCATGTGTTTGGGTTGGGTCGGGGTGAACGTGCTCTTCTGTTCGAGGGGGCCTTGATTCGGAAGGAAGGGCAGGTGCATGGGAGCATCCCTCTGGACCTCAGCTCCAAGTGGGTCGAAATTGGGCGCAGGGTGACTCACGAATGGCACGCTTGCACGTTCAACTGCAATCCTTTATGAACCTGATCTCCGCGTCCTTTGCATCAGGAAGTTGTCAGCACCCGCACCCGGTGACGGCGTAGTAACTTTTATTATATCCTTTCACATAAATCTAGGCACTTTTTCGACCCAGTAGTGGAGAACGAGCTCCCCATCCGCTTATCGTAATAATCCTAGCGGGGAACCAGGAGCGTGCATCCCCTCCTTCAGTGCTAACACAAGACGCTCCGTGGTGTTCTAACCCAGACCAAACAACAGAACCTCGTCTGATCTACGCACATATGACGAAAGGTGCTCGTCGCCGCAAAAAAGCGGGGCACCTGACAAACAGTGCTTGTTCACTTTCCTCCGTTCTATTGCCGTCGAGCTCTGACACCGCGACGCGTAAAGCTTTAGCTTTCCCGTTCAAGTGATATCCCCCACTCCCTCCATGATCTGTTAGTGGGTGTCACCGCGCACAGGACGAAATGCCATTCTGCGCAACCCCCTCACGCGTGCACTCGCCCGCCTCTATGTAGCCACGCAACTCTCAAACTCACCTGGCCGCGATGGGGCGCCGGCCGGCGTTCTTGTATCCATGTTCGCGACCTCTATCCGTTGGATCATGACGGACGTCAACTGTCAAGTCTAAGCCTGTTCATATCTCGCGGCGTTGCTGCGTCCCCCGCCAAGCCGACCAACTCTCCGATCACCGCAACTCTTCTCCTGAATCACCGCTACAATCTTCAACGCACACCCTAATCAAATTTACCCCCCCCCTACCTCCCCAATCCCAACCCGCAACACACCCAACAAAAAAAGAGAGAAAGACATCTCATCCAAACCCTCAAAATTCGGTCAAACTGTCGATAAACCAAGCTGACCGACAACCCCTTCGCTGGGGCTTCTCAGCCCGATGCCCGCAACACACCCACCATTTACAGCCACACATGTCTCCTCCATTGTCCCATCGTCAACTGAATAAAAATCGACCAACAACAACAACCATCCGGTATCGGCCGTGGCCGTTCTCGCAGCAGATGAGTAAGCGTATAGGCCGGGGCACCAAAAACAAAACAACCAACTGCCCACAGTTGCCGGATCACTCGCAACGTCCACCAACCAAGCGGACAAAAAAAGCCGCAGCATCTCCAACTCCAAACCCTCCCACGCGCCGAGGCGGTGGGGGTGGGGAAGGCAGGGCTCCGCCGAATATGCCAAATCAAGAAAAGGCCTCTTCAGTTCCGGGTAAGGTTACGAGTGCTTCCCCGCCTTCCCCGCGATACGGGGCAGAGGCTTCGTACCACTAACTCCGGCACAGGTAAACATCTGTGCCCGGTCTGTCGTGAGGCCCTTGAGCACGACTTGCAGGTCCTGTGATGGCAAACCGCGGCAGGATGTGGGAATTTTCGCGGGAGGGGAAGGAGATGGAAGGGTTAACGTGCGGGATAAAAAGGGATGCAGACACTGGATAACATCATTCCATGTCGGCAAACGAAAAAACGAAACCGGTGTATTGCGCTATTATCTGTTGCAATGTTTTTTTTGGAAGAAAGATATCCCGCATCATAGGGCTCGTTCGTGCGTTCGACGGGTACAGTAGACGTGCTTCGACACTGCTGTTGAATCACTTTTGTGTCTGGGGGCGGGGCGCAAACGAACCTGTGCGGTTACCGCTTCTACGACCGTCGGGAGGTCGTTGACGCAGCTCAAGTCCTTTCCAGGCAAGCAGTCCAACTGGAGACCGCTCAAGAGGTCGCACCTTACACAGTACGTGTTCGTTGTACAGCGAACGAGAGCGGCGGCCGGGGGAGGCAACGTGGTGGTGACGCATAAGTTGTACCATATATGACTCGTTCGTGACTCCGACTACAGCTGCGACTACAGCTGTACATGTCCGTGTACCGACGAACAACTACTTTCAACGAGTATTCTGGTGTGGCCGCCACAACCGGACCTCCCCTCTCTTCATGTGAAAATCAAGCACAACATGCATACCATGGTGCCATTTGAGATATCGGTGAGTTGGTTCTCCAACTCACCAGTAAGCGTTTGTTCGTAGGTCTCCCTCGTGCCTGTTGATGAGGACGCGCTTGGCCGACTCGATGTTGTCAGCGGTGATGGGCACAGGTCCGCTCATGTCCCGAAGGGTGTCCTGCACAAACCATGCAAGCGCGGAAAGGAACAGCAGCACGCACAAGTTTCGTGTTAATTGCAACAGCGAAGAATGGCAACAAGTAGTATAACATTCGCACTATTGAAAACACCCAGAGAAACAGCAACACAAAACGAGTGTAGTAACATTGAAAACACGAAAGAAAACCAGCAACAACACCACGCTCATATTATTGAACCCACAAACTATCAGTAGCAAGTACGAGAGTAGCCTGCGACTACAAACGAACAGGAACAGACACGCACCTCCAATTACTGAAACGAGCTTTGTGTGATCGACAACACCATGAGTACAAAACACAAGGCGGGTTTTCGCCGTACCTGGCAGGCCTTAATGGCCTCGTCCACCTTGTCGGGGTTGGCGGTTACGGTGATGAGGTACCAGCTGCCGAGCAGTCGGTCGAAGCTGAAACACGAAAACAACAACAAGCGAGATATTGCAGCATGGTGTACATGAGAGAGAGAGTTAAACAAAAAAAGTACGGCAGCAACAGAGAAGGGAAGGGAACAACGAACGAGCACTACCGAAAACAATGGCACAACATACGCATATGTGCTGCGATCCAAAAGGGACATCCCCATGCATGATGCAGACGACACGGTGCAGTCTTGAAGCGAATCGTTTGTCTGAGAGAATAAGCACCACATAAAATAACAACAACACGACACTTGTGTTGTGATCCAAAAGGGAAATCCCCATGTATCACGCAGACAACACGGCACAGTCTTGGAAGCGAATCGTTTGTCAACGGGAACGAGCACCACAAAAAACACACGCTGAAAAAATAGGGGGCGGTCCCCAGAATCATGCAGACATCCACACGGCGGTGCAGCCTTGTCTCACTTGGTAAGGTGGATGCTCGCGTCGTAGGTAAGGCGCTTCTGCTCCCGCACCACCGAGAACAGGCGCCTGTTGAGGGCCTGGGAAAACCATACAAATCCAACCGGCGTCGGGGGAACGACAATGGGGGGGGAGGGGATAGGGGATGAGGGGATAAGAATCCAAATTCACGGACCGCCTTCGTGGGAAAACAAGTATTACACGAGGAGAAAAAAAGGGAGGGGGTACGGATATCCTACTCCCTAACCGTAACCGTAAGCATAACCCAACTTCCCCGATTGTGTGCTTTATCCAACATGTTTCGCAGGATTGGAGGGGGGGGCGAACAGCACAGGGGCGAACAGACCGTACCGCACACGGTACATGCCGCTACAAGAGGGGAAGCAAAGGCCACCCAACACACATAGATACCTCCTTGAGCATGAGGAGAACCACCGGAGCGAATAGCGTGTGTGCCCTGTGGTCCTTCTTCTTGTCTCCTCCCTGGGGCTTCGGGAACAGGTCCAGAATGCTCGAGCCGTCCCTCATCATCCCCCACCGGTTAGGCGCGCTGCCGGCGACGTAGCCAACGGCGCGGTCATCCGAGTCCTGGGCGACGCCATCAAGACAAAATACGACATCATGGGGGGGTGGGGGTGAGG